ATAAGTCGACACTGATAGCACGGCTGAAGCAGATATTGCACACGGTGACAACGCAGATCCGCTCCGAGCACTTCAGATGCCGGTCAGAGCGTGGCTCCTCAAGGGTAGGCAAACAGTGCTGAGATCACCGGCTGACACAGGGTCCCTCAGCTACCTCGGCATTAATGTCGACCTTGTCATCTACACTTCTTATGTTTCCTTCCATTGCAAACGGGTCCTACCATAACACAGGCCGTCTGAGTTCCGGGACCCCTTCCTGTCCATGTTCAGCGAATGTACGCTGGTCCACTCGGGGTCCCTTGCCGGTACATCTCTTCCCTTAGACGTCGTGGGCCCTGTGTTTCTCTTCCCCGCTCCCTCCCCCACTAATGCAGAGGCCTTCAGCAGCGTTCGCGGGCCAGCTCGGGACCCTGCGGACCCCGCTTGGGAACCGGAACCCCAGGACGCACGTGACACAGACCGGCCTGTTCAGTATTGCTGACGCCTGCCCTCTGGTCCTCTCTGAGGTGGCAGGTCAGGGGTTCACTGACTGACACGCGAGGACCGCACCCTACAGCCGCAATCCCTTAGCACAACCCCAACCAGGCCTTCGCGCCCCCCAACCGGCACATGATCGCAGGCCCCGATTGCTTCTCGGGCCCTACAGGGGGGGGGGGGGGGAGGGGGCACGTGGCCCGATGTCCCGCGCGCCCAGCTCCTGCCGGCGCCTACCCGGGCTCGGGGCCACCCCATACGACCGGGGATCAGGACTGGGCCACGCGGCGACGGTCGGTCCGGCGCCTGGGCGGCAGCGGCGCCGCCAGTTAGCGCGGAACGTAACAACAATGCTCACCTTGTATATCTTGTAGACCAGAATCTTCATACGTCCCTTGCGAAACATGAAGCCTTTGCTCATGTACTCGTACTCCTGCTTGAAGCCCATCTCCGAGAGGAACTCCAGCACGTTCGGAGTGCAGCCAACATCGATGCTGTTTCGCAGCACGGTCGGGCGGCTCTTGTCACCTGGGAACAACCCGCGATCCATCAACCACTGCGAATAACGCCAAATGCAAGCAACGCCTTGCAAATTTCATAAATGCGCCAACCACGCCGCCGTCATGCTGTTTAACGGTGCCAATGTGGGATTTGCTCACACATTTCAACATTCGTTTAAACATTTTTTGCAGTTTTCAACGGTGGGGAGAATATTCAGCAGCTAAGTAAAAACTAAATAGACAAGGTGAGCAGCAAGCCCAAGCGGCAAAAGCGTAAGAAGTGAAGCTCTAAGCAGTGAAATTAGGTCGGCATCAGCATCAAAAGAACGCTCTACAGACTCCCCACGATTTGCACAGCACATCTCCACCGGCAACTGTCAAGTCGCCGCCCCAGTCGCGGGCGGTCTCGCGTTGCTCACGGGTCGCGCATCCACTCACCCACTTCGGGCTGGCCGATGTAGCGCATGGTCCAAGGCACGTCCGGATGGTCGACGGCCTGCCTGACGTACAGCGTCAGCGACTGACCGCCCGCTGTGGAGCCCCGGCCGGACGGGTCAGCCAGCGCGCGCCGACGCCGCCGTCACCCGTGCACGGATCACCGCGGCAAGTCACCGAACGGCGAGCAAAGCGGGGGTCCGAGGCCTCGGAGGTGTCAGGCTACTTTATATTGATTAGGGGGGGGGGGGAAGTTGGGTGAAGACGTGGTCACATTGAGAGAGATCACATCAGGCTAGGTCGAAGTGTGAGATAATAATGATTGCGGCATTATGTCTCACCAACTTCCACGGCCATTTCGAGACGGATGCCTTCACCAGGCTTCACGTGGGATGCGGTGATGGCGTGGCCGGGGCTGGAATCCAAGACTAACCGGTTCATAGTCAAGCGTTCTAACCACTATACCACCACCGCCCACTCTACCACCAAGTATGAGAACTCACACCGGACATTGAGAGCGAAGCTGCAAACAAGCCTGGTCCCTCTCGCAAGATGACAGCGATGTGCAGTGATGTGTCAAGCACGCTGAAGGGCAGCCGTACATCGCGAGCTGGCCCAGTTGCCGCACGCCTGGAGGGCGACTGACCTGGGCCCAGGGTGAGCACCCTCTCGCGGTCGTGGAACGTCTCCACCTGCTCGTCCACGTTGTCGGCTAGACCGCGCAGGCGGTGGATCAGCACATCTTTGGCGCTGTCTAGAACACTACCCTGCAGCAGGTACTCCTGGAATATTGACAATTTGTCTGTGGACAACATGCGCTGGATTTTTCCAGAGTGTACACAAAGATTGTATGAAAATAAACCATACCAAGCCTCAAATTTGAATCAATCCTTTTGAATTTACAAGTTTGGGCAGATTTCGTAACAGCATAAACAACTTTTGCATTTGCATTGCACAACATAAAAACACACTACAACTCGGAGCATGGCATAGGTGACATCACTCCCTTCATGTCACGTTAAATCCATAGAACAAATAAGCATCAGCTCATCATGCAGTGATATTCTACAGGTGTATAATGGATTACACTTATCATCCCCAACAGTATCTTAATCTTATTGCTTACAAATGAACTATTTCCTGCAGAAATAAATCCACATAGAACATCACCCAAATAAAACATAATGCCAGATCTCACAAGGACACCTGGATTACTGTGCTGTTCCTGTGTGTGCAAAAATAACTAAAAAAATAACCAACATATGTACCTGATTTGGGACCACCTTTGTTTGAATAGCAGCCTGCAGCATCTCCTGGGCTGACACTGCTGCACACATGTCTGATGAGAAGGGCCTGTTGGGGCAAGTGGTTAGCAATGGATATTGAACAGACAAAAACCAAGCATCACAAGTCATGGCTGCTTAGCACCTGGAAATCAATAACCTTATTATTGGAAGATGAGATGCAAGATGAGACAGCCTGCAAAACATACTTGAATGATAATTGTAACCTCAGCATACACACATAAATGGCTTCAGACAGGGTACTTGAGCAGTGTTTTTTTGTAACCCACAATTATAGAGCAATTAATGCCACATTGCACCAAACATTATTGACAATCATGACTGTGGATATATATATATATATATATATATATATATATATATATCACTGGACAATGCTTTGGTATCTTTTGGCCATGCTTGAACCAACCCAAAATTTCCAAGGATACTGAATACTTGACTGGAAATAAAATTCAGCAAAAAATACATAACAGCACTAGCCTCTGCCTTAGGGAAAACCTGGCCTTTGGATCCATGCATACATTGCATTCTATATGGAGAGGAGAGGGTTTTTTGACAGAGTGTAACCAAAGTGTGACAGTAGGAGGAAGAAGAGGGAGCCTGAATAGTGCAAGATTTCATTTAGGTGTACTGTCAACCATGTTCTGATATCTTTCCTTATCTTTCACACAATAAGAGTCTAAAACTGTCTGTCTTCTTATCATGGTAAGCTACACACCAATCATCAGTTCATGTCTCTAGCTCAATTATGCCAACCCAACATGGTCTCTTTAAGGAAAATATGTGAGACATGACATAAACAGCAAAGGTGGGCTTTTGACAGCATAACCAGCATGTAACCAGGGAGGGAGAGTAAGTTCAAAAATGACAAATATGCATGTCATTTATGGAAGATCCCTTAAGGCCAAAATGGTGGGATACTTGCAAGCATTGCACACATCACTGAACCGGATTCCTCTAACAAGAAACAAGCACATCATTCGAGTCATATCTCTAACTCAATTAGAACCCAAACAGGCGTTGCTTTCTGGGTCAAAATGATTTAAACAGCGTAGGGAATGGAGTGTTGAAAAATGTCCAAAAACAAGAAACGCAACTGATGGACGTGCCATCAGGCAATGCCATAGGCATTCAGCCATCAAGACATCAGCAGGTAGTTTTAGGTTAATGAAATAAGACTAAATGAATTGGCTACAGAGCCACACTCAACGATTAACTCGGTCCCCTTACCTTCAGCCGTCGAATCCGAAAATAAAACCTTAGCACCGCTCCTCGCGATCAATCCACGCTGCACACCGTGCTAGCGCGCGGGACGGACAAGCGTTGGTCGGCGTTTGGTCCCGAATGTCTCAGAATGAAGCAGCTCCGCCATAACTGTATAAAATGTTTTCTTGAGCCATGACAGCATAACAAGAAATTATATAATATTTTGATCGAATCTTTATGAAAGTCACTTGATTGGTTAGAAAAAATGGTAACTGGCGGAAATTTTATTATAATTTTTAAGTCAGTTAACTAATTTTTGTAAACAAATTCAACAGATTTACCAAACCAATCTCTGAAAATTTATGTAAATACTTATTTGCCTACAGCAGCCCAAATTTTCTTCCCCCGTGCTGTTCGTTCCCGGCGCTGGTGGCTCCGTTAATTATTTTGCAGGAATCGGGTGAATTGCATACCCGCGGAGCGCGATGGCTTCCCAAGCCCCAGTACGAGTGTCACCATTGATCAAGGTAACTCGTGGGGTCGTTATGGTAAGCAGAGCTGTTCCATCCTGCATGGTTTGTGCGTCAGCTTTGCCGCGTCCCGGAGGTGTCTTGTTCTCTTGCGTTATGTTCGTAGTGTGCGACATGTATGGGCTCATTGGGGGTTTGATATCTTGAATATAGTGAAAATGTTATTCTGCTGGTGTGCATGCTAATTTTTCTGCTGAGGTATTTGACATTTATGAAGTTATGGTTGTTCCTACCTATCGTGCGCTGTGACATGTACATCCAGTGTTGGCAAAATATGTTGAATTTAAGGTCAATTTACTGCTTAGCTGCATACAATAGTCTGCATATTTTAATCAGTGCATGTCTCAATTACAGTGTATGTAGTGGCCATATTTAGTGGTTAAAGAAAGGTAAAGGAATGCTCCAAAATTTAGGATTTAAAGCAACCATCAGTTTTGATGAAATAAGCCCATCATACCAGCTGGTACTTTTAAGTAGAGAAGACTGCTCTTTACAACACAGTTTGTCCATTCACTAAATATGTCATTCAATATGTCACTGTTTGATTGCCTAATAATACCTTTTACAGTATAGGTCAAGAGGTAATTGATGGTTGTTATGTCTGCAAATGGTGCTCATGAGTGTCAGATGCAAACAATTCAATAGTTGTCTTTTTATGGGTCCTGATCACTAATGGTCAATGAAAAAACCTTGATGACATTGAAATAGTCTGCAAAAAATGATTAGCATATGCTCTTGGGCATGTAGCTCTAAAATTAGAGGGGTTTAGGTCATAGCGATGATAGGGCTGTGAACTGCACCAGGTGGTGTATAATATGGCTTTTTCTAGTTAAAAAATGCTATTCAAATGTGAAGACTCCCTTTAAAGCCTGTGGTTTACCCAGAAGTCCACATATAGGAGCTGAAGGTAACAGCTACTTTTCCATTATGCTGTCCCACCCATTGTTCCTCCCTCTCCTGTCTTATGCTAATATCAATCAGGTTGTGGTAAGAGCAACAGTACTGATTGTGGACAGCAACAGCAGGAGCAGCAGTACTGATCATGGACAGCAACAGCAGGAGCAACAGTAATGACAGATCACTTTCCCCTGCAGGCTGGCCGGTGGTCGGCACTGCTGGTAGGTGTCCTGTACGGGTCCAAGCACTACAACACGCTGTCAAAGCGCGAGGTGGAGCTGCGCGAGATCGAGGCCAAGCAGAAGGTCGTCCGCGACGCCCAGCTGGCCAAGGAGCGCGCCGTACAGAACAGGGGTATGTTCCTGCCACCGCACTGCCTTGATGCCAGCTGGCTGGTGGTAGTGATGGTATGCAAGTGCTGGTGGCATTTGTCATAGGGATATTTGCTGCTGGTGGGAAACCTGTAACTAATTACCTTTAGAGCCAATGTTGCAGGTGTTGTTAGCATTTCTTGTTGTGAGATGTTATGGAACTTACCTCTTTCGAAGAGTGATGTATGTTTCTGCAGTGGGCAGTGGAGGAAGAGTTTTGGAGTTGACACTATTATGTCTGTTTCAGAACAAATGCTGTATCTGGCTAAAGAAACCGGCACGCCTGTCCCCGCGGATTTCGACAAACAGTACCCAGTCTCAAGCTAAAATATGCCTGCAATACGTGTTGCCGTGTGCGTGAATGTACTACATCGCTGGTCAATATAGGTATCAAATATGTCTTCTGCGTGTCATGACACTCGTCAAATGCAAACGTTGGGAATGTGTGACTTGGCCAAGTTCTCAAGCAAGTGCATGGAAGTAAAACTCTTTAACTGCCTGAATGGCGTACCTGCCATTCGATGAGCGGCGTCGCCCTCTCACAGCAACGTTATGATTGTGTCGCAGCACATTCAGCTGCCAGTATCATCAGCCAGAAGATCTCCTACGTTTGTAGTGTGAGGCACCTGAACAGCCGACGCCGTGGTCAGAGCATGTACCCTCGCAGCTGTAGCCAAGCGTTGCAGCGCCGCTCCGCGACATCCCGCCGTCAGTAGCCCAGTACGCCAGCGGGATTAATATATTGTACACGCTCGTCACACGATGGTATGACGTCACAGGACGCTCGTCACTCGCTGCGACGAGCACGCCTGCGTGCCCATCGGCCCTGTGCGTCGCCTGCGCCGTTCGCCGCTGCGCCGAACATGCGCTCACACCTCCACATTGACATCCACTCAATACAGGCAGCAATGGTAAGGCCGCGACATGACCTCGAGTATACGGGCCCACTGTATGGCCATGTTATCCCGGACGTGCACCGAGTACATAGGGCATAGTTCACGACAACGTGCCCCATTTTGAGGATTGAAAGGGCATGTAATATTGTTCGCCAAAAATCCTCTCGACCCACCTGACAGGTTTTCGCGGTATGGTGTTGGCCCCCATGCGATTCGCTTAGTGGCTACACAGGTCACGTCACTGACATAATACAGAAACGTTCATACAGCAACAGGAGCGACGGAGGCTTAAACGTAAAAACGCTTTTCACGTGCTGCCGCAGAGGCAAGGCATCCATGTTCTGCTTATACGGTATTTTCTGGAGCGCCTTCAAATTTCAGAAACACCAGCACCTAAAAGATATCACAGCAGCTGATAGCGCCTTCTGTTTAAATAAATTATTCCTCTCATCCACGCCGCGTCCGCGACCGCGCAGGGGGTACCGCGACAGCCGTGAGTCGTACCGGCCGTACCGCCCTCTCCTCTCAAAACACCGCATCGCTGCGGACCGAAGCGATGGCGCGTGTTCCTGGCGCCCCACTTCTCTCGCCGGAGGTACGCACCGCGGTCTGTGCCGTCCTGTCCTCTGTCCTCGCCCATACGACACCGTCTCCAACCGGTGAAACCCAGAGCATGAATGCAATGGGAAGCCGGTCGTAAGCTGGCATTTCGTGTTCATCTTTTGAGATGTTGACGGAAACGCGCCATCACAGCGCACACATATACGCATGCCGCTTCTATAAAAAACGAAACCGTAACTCCGTGCCACCGTCTACAACCGGTGGCGAGCTGTTGCACATTGCTTGCGCAGCGAGGTGGCATCAAGGACCACCTTCCTTACGCTTAAGCGGCCGCTCAAGCGCAAGAAGCGATCGCACCGACGCACTGCTGTCTGTCTCTGGCAGCCTTCGCCAGAACCTCGAACAGTGGTGACCTCTCGCTGTTCATCAGCACGTCCCACTGGCACTCCCCCAGGGGGGCCTGGCCCGACCGGTACCAAACCACGTGGCACGCGAAGCCTGTGGGCCATCATGGCTGACGCGCGGCCCACACTCATTTCTAGGCGGACATATCACGAAATGGGCGCGGCTCACGCTGTAGATTCGTTCTGTGTTTTCAGGACGTTGTCTAGCTGGTCCTCCAGCTCCCTGATCCGCTGCTCCTTGATGTTTAGCATGTTCTTCAGCTGCTTGATCTCTTCGGCCTGTTCTGCGTACCGCTTACGGAGCTAGAAAAGAGGGCGCCACAGTCTCTGCCAATTGCATGGCTTGTGAAGAAAAACCGCGACATGGGAACATGTTTTTGCTCGTTTACAGTGATGACATCGGCCTTAGTTCAGTAAGCGTTGCAGCCAACGAACCTTGTAACACACCAAGCAGCCTTCACACCCCGCTTAATACCCAAAATTGTTCTCCCAAATTATGAACGCACGAACCTAGGTGAGGAAGAAATGGAGAATGGAGGATGAGAGAAAATATATGATAGCAATTAGCATGCATTCCAGGCAAATTAAGTCGGCCACGCGACTAGCTTTTGTGGCCTCGTGTTACGCAAACAAAGTCTAGTGGATGACAATGACGGCCAAGCAATTAACGGCTAGGCAATTAACGGTTAGGCAATCAACGACTAAGCAATCAACGGCCATCCACTCTGAAGGCCGGTTCCACTCCACGCCAAACCATGACGCCGCGCAGCGGTTTCACCCGCTGACTACACCACAACATTCCGGCGCCGCCCGTCACTCCAGAGCCTCGTCTGCCGGGGCAGGCGGCCAGCCAGCACCAGACGGCGACTGACCTCCACCTCTGCCTTGTGGGTGGGCTCGGGGCGGGCCGGGGTGACTGTGACCGGACGGTGGCCGCCCAGCTGCTCCGGCGCGCTCGGCAGGCCGTTCCACGACTTTAGCGGCATCGACTGATAGCCCGAGTCGGCCGCCGGTGGACTCCGGCCGGTCGGCTCCTGAGGGTGGACACAGGTTGGGTCAGAGTCGGCCGCCGGTGGACTCAAGCCAGTCGGGTCCTGAGGATAGATTCAGGTCGAGCCAGAGTCGGCCGCCGGTGGACTCCGGCCGATGGGCTCCCGGGAATGGACGCAGTTCAGGTGAGGTCAGAGTCGGCCGCTGGTGGACTCCGGCCGGTCAGCTCCTGGGAGTGGACGCAGGTCAGGTGAGGTCAGAGTCGGCCGCCGGTGGACTCCGGCCGGTCGACTCCTGAATATGGATATAGGTCGGGTCAAAGTCGGCCGCCGGTGGGCTCCTGGGGATGGACGCAGGTCAGGCGAGGTCAGAGTCGGCCGCCGGTGGGTTCCGGCCGGTAGGCTCCTGAGGATGGACACAGGTCATGTGGGGTCACAGAACAGTGACCAGGGTCGACCACTG